CGGCTCACATTACTGAAGAGCCGCATCACATAAATAACGACAGAATATTTTGTAAAACTTAGAAAATTTTGCCAGGGGCTCTCCAATTTTAAAGATTGGGGCCTGGATTTTTTTGGAAGATATATAAGGGGTAGGGCTATAGCTTATATAAACAATTTTAACTGAATGTACAACAATTTTAGACTCCTTTTTAAAGATTTTGGTGGTCCTTAAAAGGACCGTTAATTTTGTCTGTATCTTTTTCAGCAGTAGATGAATGCAGCTATATCTTCCTTGATTTTGGAACTTTTGAAGAACAGCTTCTGGTAGGTATATTCTTCTTAGCAGGTATTACTCTACCATATGAATGATCGTCCATTATGCTTTTACAAATGCAGCATCTAGTTTTGGATCAGGTTGCCCTTTTTTATATCTATCTGTATATTTACTTCGATCCTTTTCTTCCACATGAACCTTAGTCTTCTATCCGCTGCGTTGTAAATTTTTCTTTTTCCTTTCTGGAGTATTTTGGTTTACTTTGTTCCGTTCACACTCCCTTTACATGTGGTCGAAGTGTTTTAATGAACCTTTTGAGATTTTAAAACCAATACATTCTGCTTTTTGTCACAAGGAATAAGCTGTACCATTATTCAAAGTGTGAATTATTGATGATGCCCTCCCTCCCTTCAAATTTCTAGAAAAGTTCATATTCTTTGGTAAGGAAACACTTAGTGCTCTGTTAACAGATTCACCTTTTTGAGTGTTATGATTAAATTTCATTTTCATTAATGCTTCTTCGCTAAGTTTCATTTTTAAAAGTTCCTGCATTATTAACTTGTCCTTGTTATCCATATTCAGGTTGGTTAACTTGTTTGGACCCAAGTACATGGATCTCCTATGAACCACCAACAGTTTGAGTGTCCACCACCACACACGTATGAACTAGTGGGACATTTAGAGCAGTCACAAGTATAACAACGCACAGTAGCATTAAGCATTCAGGCAGATCCAGGATTCCCCTTGACATTTGTTAAACTGTAGGAGGTGCCGTCTTGACTGGTTTTAGCTACAAGTGAGAACTTCTCTGCATCTAGCCTTTTCCATTGTATATTAAATGAACTTAGCTGACTGTTTGAAGACTAAGTCTCATGATTTATACCCTTGTTATGGGGTATGCTTCTTTGCATATGTAATTCTTATAAGATTTTTTTTTTAATTAAAAAAATAATTATAATTAATTTTTTTTCAGCAGAATTTTTTTTTTAACTAGATTTCCATATCAAGAATGAATTGATCTACCATGTGCAATTTACAGAATGTAAATATCTTTTAAAATAAAAAAGTTTTGCTGATTTTAAGCATATTTTCTTCATGAATTTATGATTTTATCCGATCAATTTTCTGGTATTTGAGATGTCATAGATAAGGATCAATAACTCTGTAACTGTTGGATCAAATCTATTGAAACTTTGCACAATAACTACTGAGATGTATATCTTTATTTTAAAAGTGCAGTTTTAAGTCTGGAAAAAAAAATAAAGTCTGACAGGAATAGGATCCCAGTTACGGCAACCAGTCCGGTACCCACGAATGTAGTTCTTAAAAAAAATATATAACTTTTATTAAAAATGGTGTAGTTTTATTATTACACAAGTTCTGTAACTGAATGTAGTTTTCATTGAATGGGTAGGCTTTCTAGCTTGAATTTCTGTACAAATTTTGATTGATTTAAATGTAATCTGGCGTCGGTACATAGAGTAAATTGCCTAAATTCTAGCCTTTATTCTTCCCCGGAAGTAGACCGACCTACCCTGTTGTCAATCAAAACAAAATTGTGCAACGGAATGCCGGTCATGAGGCACTGAGATTGCACTTAGAAACTTCGAAACAAATGCCTAACGTGAAACAGAAGTCCCAAGGTGGCTATCAAAATTATTTATTGGACAGCACCCCATTTATTTACTATGATTTTCAATGCGTTTCAATGGGGGAAATAACTGGGTCCCCGTTCCATGTATGTATGTTATGTATCTTCCTCCTTTGATAGGAGCACCACAATGGGTTATATTGTGAAAGGAGGACATTTAACACACTGACTCGGTACAGATTTAATGTGAGCATTTGCCTACCCAGTTTCCCAGCCTGGTCGTGACGGGTCTTACTACCAGAAAACTAACCTTCCCCAAAAACAATAAGTACAATGCCATAAAACATACGAAATTACAATCACCTGATTCGCTCATCCTCAAAATATAAAAAATGTGATCATTTGCCTAAACAGTTTTCCAGCCTCGCCGTGGCGGGTCTTAGTACCAGAAAGTTAACCTTCCCCCAAAACAATAAGAATAATGCAATAAAACATACGAACATACACTCACCTGATTCGCTCTCCCTCAAAATATAAAAAATGCAAAATATAAAAACAAGTAAGAAAACTAGGACGGGTTCAAACAAAAAGATTTTAAAAGCAGAGAAAACAGTGCACCTTATAATCAGCATGACTTTATCAGATGTCAATACGAATACTAAAAATCCGTGCTAAAAATTAGGCGTAGATACTTTAATTCATCCATGGACCCGCGATATCGCGGTTGTGTTCTAGTATACTACTAAAATAACGAGATCCAATTGGTTATCCAGTATGACATAAAAACGAAGAATCAAAGAATTCAACTTTATATATAACTAACATAGGACAATGGCGTTGTTTAAAAAATGACACCATGCCAGGCCTTTTGTTTTCCACATAAATAATATTACCAATAATTGTCACATGTAGTTTCCGGTTGTAATGAGAAAACCAGGACGGGTTCAAACAGAAAGATTTTGAAAGCAGAGAAAACTGTGCACCTTATAATCAGCATGACTTTATCAGATGACAATGCGAATACAATAAATCCAGGCTAAAAATAAGGCGTATGTACTTTGATTTAGTCACGGACCCTCGATGTCGCGGGTGTGTTCTAGTATCTTTACTACTAAAATAACGAGCTCCGATTTGTTAGCCGGCATGACGGAAACAACGATTCAAAGAATTCAATTGTATATATAACTAATATAGGACAATGGTGTAGATTAAAAATTACACCATTCCAGGCCCTTTTGTTTTCCACATAATTGATATTACCAATAATAAACAAGTTCCGGGTCGAATCCGATACCGATACCAATAGTATTATGTCACATGTATGTATGTTCTGTATCTTCCTCCTTTATTAGGAGCACCACCATGGGTTATGATGTAAAGGAGGACATTTACTACACGGTATCGGTACAGATTTAATGTGAGCATTTTCCTACCCAGTATCACAGCCTAGCAGTGACGGGTCTTACTACTAGAAAGTTAACCTTCCCCAAAACAATAAGAACAATGCAAAACAACATACATGTAGTTTCCGGTTGTAGTAAGAAAACCAGGACCGGTTCAAACAGAAATATTTTGAAAGCATAAAAAGCTGTGCACCTTAAAATCAGCATGACTTTTTTAGATGACAATACGAATACTAAAAATCCAGGCTAAAAATAAGGCGTAAGGTACTTTCCAATTTGTTAGCCGGCATGACTTAAAAACGACGAATCAAAGAATTCAACTTTATATATATAACTAATACAGGACAATGGTGTAGATTAAAATTACATCATTCCAGGCCTTTTTGTTTTCCACATAATTAATATTACCAATAATTAGCAAGTTCCGGGTCGACGGGTTCAAACAGAATGATTTTGAAAGAAGAGAAAACTGTGCACCTTATAATCAGCATGACTTTATCAGATGACAATACGAATATTAACGATCCATGCTAAAAACAAGGCGTAGGTACTTTAAATCAGTCATGGACCCTCACTGTCGTGGGTGTGTTCTAGTACATATAACTTATATATACATCTATATATGTGACAAATGCACGACATACTTTATCCATTGTATAGCCATAGTTTAATCAGGTTTGAAATTTAGTCCCACAATGTTAGACCTGCAAAGCGATAGCTGTTCTACCCTGACTGGAATTCAACCCCTGCTCTGTGCCACCGTGGCAACACAACCTGGACTGTGTGACAAGCGCCCTAGACTATACTCTGCCAACTAGGCTTTATGAAAATGTAGCTTTCGTTAGTCGAGTAATACCTTTCCTCATTGGCTTTATCTAGGGTTGTAACACAGTACATGATATATTGTGGTAAGTAAATGGTATACCTTGCAAATCAACTTTTTTTGTCTGTCGTGAAGGATGATAGTTTTACTCAACTTGCAGGCACATTCATATGATTTTATTATATAGGTCCATACACGACGACAGACTTTCTCCATCGGATAACCATAAGTTATACAGGGATACCTTTTCGTCCATTTCGCTGAACTAGTATACAATATTGTTTAGGATGCAGCTGAAGCCCGATTCCGGGTGCGGGATTTCATCGCTGGGTTGAAGACCCATTGGTGGCCTTGGGCTGTTTTCTGCTCTTTTACCGGGTTGTTGCCTCTAAGACACATTCCCCGTTTCTACTCTCAATTCGATACCAACACAATTTATACATAGTTCGTCTGTAATTTAGTCCAACAAGGTTAGACCTGCAAATTTGCGTTATCAATTCTTTGTTATTGGCAACACCGATCAGAATATGAAAAGTAATCTAAATTATTCATCAACATTTACATAGGGGTACGACCATTTGATTTTCGTGGGGGGAGGGAGCCAGGGAGATATTGAAAATGAATATCCAAGCCTGGTAAGATATGAAAGTAATATTAACATTGCATAAGACAGGATGGAAATGAATATTCTGGAACACAAAATGCAGGAATCAGTTGTGAACAAAATTAAAAAAAAATCAAATTATAGGCATGCGTAGCAGCAGAAGAAAATCAATAGTAAAAAAATCTTCCTCGGCCTATTTCCCAGAAAACCAAACGGTAATCCCCTAATTATTCAAGTTGGAAATGTTTTCTTACTCTGTAATGCTTGTCTTCATATACAAACTTATATACATGTTACCAATATATTTCTTTGGTTTCAGAACAGTTTTTGCGATCCATGTTTTGATAAGCCGTGCAAATCCGGAGAAATGTGTCAAACTGTGTCGCGAGGGAACAGTGTTTGTATTAAAGATTGTAAGTATTTACTTGACAAATATGTTAAGTCCGGGTTTAATATAGTTAAAATCGTTTTACATTAAGCTATTAGAACTTTTTTTTAAGAATTGCCATATGAGTTAATCTAAACGTTGCAAATAAAGAAAACAGAAACAACAAAAGATCTGCCAAGAAACAAAACGATAAAAAATGACATTAGACAACCACTGACGAAATTTCTGACTTGGAAAAGTGCGCGTCAAATTCCGTCAGATTTAAAACTTCCTAGTTTGATGGTCTAATGATTTGTGTTTTTTTCGTGTGCGGTTTGGATGACTGTGGTTTTGACGATTACTTTATATCTCAGTTTATATATATCTCACTTTTAATATGTAAATGTAATATACAAATTTAGAGAAGAAAGAAAGACATATTTAAAATGTAATATGAGCTTCATCCTCTCTTTAAATTTAGAAAAGGAAATGGCAATACATGTAGCAAATTCAATACAGTTCAACTGTATCACAACTACTATATAATGAAGTGATCTAAAGAATGTACTGGTTATTGTACCTATTTCAAATTCTTAATCTCGTCAGTGGTCGTTGCTGGTCCCCATTAATAAACATTAATAGACTACAACCTTTAAGTTAAGATTAATATTTGACATTTTAGATAAGAGTTCTTATTGTGAAGATGACTGGCTGTATTTTGGTGGATTTTGTTATAACTTTCGGAACATACAGAAATCTTGGCAAAGTGCACAGGTACCTGTATATATTTCTATATTTATACGAAATGGTTAGTATATATCAATCACATTTTATATACCAAATTTGCTGTCTGACTACTGACTTAGAACACAGCAATATAAATAAAACATATCTGGGGTAAACGTCAGTGAGACATTAACCCAACGACAAAAATAACCGCACGACATCCAGCAGCAATAACACAGTCTTCAACAATAGACATGTATCTGAACAATATGTCAATTTTCAAAACATCCCGAGTCTATAAAATTTGTGAATAAATTTAACGGAAACAATCAAAGATCTGCAATCAACTCAAAATTATCGTAAATTACAATAAAAAAGATATAAGGGCTTGGTTAAACTAGTTGTTTTAGACCTCATTCCCTCTTTTGTGATCTCGTTCAGTGGAGTTACAAACCGAACATTAAAGAAGATATAATACAAATATGAACAGGAAAAAAAAATTACTCTGAAATCGCTTTAATAAAAATAGCAAAAACACAACGTTATCAACAAATTATATCGTAATAAAGAACGCTGGTAGTTAATAAGAGCAAACTTAAAGTACTCAACAAGATGATATGACATTATGCCGCTCTATACTTTAGACCGATTGCTGTACTTCATGAGAGATTTCATAAAGCCATGACGTGAACGGTACCGAAGACATGATCTTGTGTGATGCACACACAAAAACACACAAAATTATTCAGAAAAACTACAGAAATACATTATGTAAAAATAAGGAGATCTGGTATGATTGCAATAATAAGACAACTATCCATCAGAGACCAAGGGACGAGGATGTAAACAACTAGTTCGTCGAATGGCCTTCCACAATGAGCAAAACTCATATCGTGTAGTAAGTTATTAAAGGCTCCTATATGACAAAATTTGAAACAATTCAAACAATACTAAGCAATGCCAAACGCAAATTTATATGAAGAAAAAAAAAACAACCAATCGAATCAAACTGTCATATTATCGAATATTGAGATTGATAGCATGATCTTAATCACATATTTATCCTTGTTTTCATTAAAACACAATCTATTATGCTACTCTTAGATGTGCTCTTTTGAAAGAATCGACTATTGATGTACATTATGTCTGTCATTCACAAGTAAAACGAGTGAATATGTACGAAATTAAGTTGTTTTACTTTTCTACAATATTTTGAAAGCCCTTTTCATAAAAAAAATATTGTAATACTTTTATCTTCTGTCATATTCCTGATTTGGTACATGCATTTCCTTATGTAGAAAACGGTGGATTAAAAGTAACTGTTCATATCCGACGACTTTAACAGTATGATCAAGATTCTAATGCTAATTATCTTATTGCAGGAAGATTGTAAAGACAGAAACTCAAATTTAATAAAGGTAGAAAATGAAGTAGAAAACAGCTGGATCGTGTCTACTTTTCTGACAGGTAATTATGAAAAAGAACTAACAACTCAGAGGTATATCGTATCCCCGATTTACCATTGCTGCTGCAATTGCTTTAATAAGGAATACTGGGGATACTAAATCATTCTGTAGAAACCGCATTAAATTGTGTTGACTCGGATGATATTGTGATAGCTACGACATATATTAAGACTATTGCAAAAACAAAAACTTACATTTAGACAAAATTAGAAATTCAGAACCAAATCGTGCCATTTATTTCATTATTGAAATATATTATATATTAAGATGCTGCGATTGACAGGTGTTTATAATTATATCTCTCTAACAATAACCATTTGGAAATGTTTAGAATTTACATTTTATACAGGCATCCTGTAATGATACAGCATTCAAACTATATACTAGTATACAAAAATCAACAAAAACATGAAACGTCGACTCATTGTCTTCTACAGTATCTAGAAGTGATATTACTGGTTTGTTTAGTGTTCACACAAGGAAAAAACTAACAGAGACTGTATTATACCTGTCGATAACACCTAGACCTTAAAAGGACAACACATTTTTTGTTTCTATAGGATACCATCAATGTCGAAGTTCATGATTTCATTTCCCTATTTTTATTGGTTTTGAGTTATAATAATATAACTTAACTTGAGTCTTTTAGTACAATCAGTTTATTAGCTAATAGTTATATAATATGTGTGTATAACAGTATAACAGTTGGCAGACATGTTTGTGTAATGTTTGTGTTTACGGCCAGGTTTGAAGAGAGTTTACAGGTACATTTATACACAAGTTCCTTTACAAATAGACCTACTCTAGATTAAACACAATTAGAAACGCTGGATCTCCAAACTTGACTAGGCATATTGACAGGTTACCTATATCCTGCTATATAAGCGTCTTTCGATTTCAAATTATGATAACAAAAAACGTTATTGGCAAGCCAGGCCATACCTTATAATATACCAGAGGACATAAAACAGGATCTTTGACAGAGTTGTTTCGATCTCTATTAAATTTAGAAAAGGAAAAACTGCAACGACTAACTAATTCATAAAACAATGTGAAAACTAATCAAGATACCAGGCTGATAATTTGGAACGCTAGACACGTGTTTCGTCTTTACAAGGCTCATAAGTGGCACTCGAATGGGTTGAAGGCCAAATAAATTACGAAGTTGAAGAATATGGGTAAGGCAATCTTTGCCTGGAGATGAGAAAAAAACATACGGGCGTTTTGAAAAAATCAACATTTTTATAAACGGTATATTTACATAAAATTAATTGATGAATTCAATTGTTCTTTTTTATGGCTTTGACAGAGTAGTTTTTCTTAGTTCAGCTAAATGCTCTAGCATAGCATAAGTAATAAATTCCAGTTTGTGTGGTGTAGTAACTTTAAGAAAACTATCCAGTTATTGTATTGTCATGGTAGTATTCCTTTAGTTTATTCTAATTTCATCTGGATATATGAGATTCACTAGTACTTCCAATCTGGAGGAAGGATTACTGAGTCAATAAACTTTTCCTGTCTTTATTTCTGGTGTTTTTTGCCATAATGGTTGGCAACCTTTCCTTTTACTATAACCGTCTGTTTGGTTATTGCCATTTAAAATTTCTATTTCGTTTTTAAATTAATAACTTGAAATCGTGATAATTTATAAAGTTCCTCAAAACTTTCAGTTGTTCAATAACATCTAGTTTGTCGATTTTGTTTTATTAATTAGAACATGATTTGCATAATATATGAAGATTTCATGGTCAATTTGATCTCACTTCTTTACAAAGAACACTCAGCCTTTTAATTATTTTTGCGGATGATTTTCTGATATTCTGTATAAAAGAACAATTTGTTTTGGATTTGATAAACTTTTTAATGTCTAATTGTTATGCAATTTCCAACATTTCAAACAGGAGTATGTATTTTACGGAAGCCCATTTAGGACCTCCAGAAAATATAATTTGAATTCGATATAACGAATTTAAATTGTTATCACGAATTCTAGAATTCGTTATCACATATTTAATTCGTTATCACAGATTTAATTCGTTATCACGAATTTATGGAATTAGTTATAACAGTTTTTGTAATTCGTAGTAACGGATTAAATTCGTTATCACAATTTTTTGTAATTTGTGATAACGAACTTTATAATTCGTTATTACGGATTAAAATCGTTCTCACGAATTTGTGTAAATTGTTATCACAGCTTTTTTTTTGTAATTCGTGATTACGGATTAAATTCGTGATCACAGATTATTGTAATTCGTGATAACGGTTTAAAATCGTTATAACAAATTGTATAATTTGTGATAACGGATTAAATTCGTTATAACTATTTCTACGAATTTAATATAACGAATTTAATCCGTTATAACCATTTATGAAATTCATTATGACGATTTTAATCCGTTATCACGAATTACCAAAAAAAAGTGATAACAAATTCTACGAATTCGTGATAACGAACTCAATCCGTTATAACGATTTATACAATTCGTTATCACGATTTATAAAATTCGTTATTACGATTTTGATCCGTTATCTCGAATTACAAAAAATTGTGATAACGAATTACAAAAACTGTAATAACTAATTCCGGAAATTCGTTATCACGAATTTAATCTGTAATAACGAATTCTTCAATTCGTGATAACGATTTAAATTCGTGATTTTGAATTCAAATATATATTTTTAGGAGGTCCTAAATGGGCTTCCGTAGTATTTCCACTTTTTTTATTGATATCTTTTAAAATATGTAAAAGTTCTGCAGAAGCGCAGGAACTACTGTAATAATAACTTCATAATTTAAAATTAATTTCTTTAGCTTTATTATCATCTTTAAAAACATAATGTTACGGGTTTTAAAGCGTTAGTGAACGCGCGTTCAACCCTCCTCTTTCCTGGGACATTAGTGTAACAACACAATATAAAAAACTTACTGTTAAAAATCAGTTGGAAAAATAAGAAAAACTCTTTATAAATTTAAAGCGTTCGAAGCCGTTTTTTAGATTTACCACGAGGAACCCATGTGTAGGTACTGAAACATATAAAGAGCTATATGATTAATAGGAAGCTAAAGATAATAGCCAAATCCATATTTGCATGAGGGGGTTGGGACCTAAGTTTCTACATAGTTTCTATATTATGAAAGGGTTTGACTCATCATATTAGTATTAAACACGAAAACCGATAACAAACAATGAAAATAATACGAAAAGATTTCATACGGATATTGCTTTTCCATAGTTATATTGGATTAGTGATATGTGTACACCTATGTATTACACAATACGAACTTTTACATTCATCAGCACAGACCATTGATATACTATGGATTGGTGCAAGCGATATTTTAAATGAGGGTCAATGGCTTTGGGTTTCTGATGGCTCAAATCTAACATTTTCACTTTGGAATGACTACGAACCAAATAATTCTGGAACCGGTGAAGATTGTTCTGTTGTTAAACAAACAGGCATGGGATGGAACGATATACCTTGTGACCATACCGAACAATACCTTTGTAAAAAGTATGTATATGTTATCATTAATTTACTTAAACAGAACAACATTTGTTATTAAACGTTATAGTAATGAAAGAATACTCGTAAATGCACCTAGTTACTACTATAATGAGAGTAATGAGTTTACAGCCATGCTTAATCTACAGTCATCACAACATGTGTCCAAACGCTTAACCCTGGAATTCACATATGGGTTGATCGTTATCAGGTGTCACACGAATGATTGCAGTTATTTATCTGTAAAAGCTTTATTTTCTTTAAAACAATCATCAGAAATTTCATACTTACAATTAAATGCGCGAGACACGCGTTTCATCTTCATAAAACACATTTCTAGGCCTCGGTGGCCGAGTCTAAGTAGTCAAACTACTTTATCACTAGCCTGTCAACACTGAGGTTGTGGGTTCGAATCCCGCACGTGGCAGGTGCGCTCGACTCCAATCTTTATTGACCAGGTTTGTCAGTTTTCTTACCGAAGGTCTATGCGGTGGAACTCTCCATGCACTCCGGCTTCCTCCACCAATAAAAACTGACCGTCACGAAATAGCACAATAGTGCTGAAAGTTGCATTGTTATATTCTTTGTCATTTGGTCTCTGGCGTAGAATCGTCTCATTGGCAATCATACCACATCTTCTTATTTTTTTTTATATCAAACACCAATCAATCATCAATCAATTATACCACACATTAGATGCACTACAAGTAAAACAAGGTAAGGAGAAATTCATTAAAAAGCTGAAGAACAATGAAAACCAAACTACGAAATGGTATTAAGCTTGCTTTTGCCATGAAGTAGAAACACCTTAGTGCTTTGAAAGATTATAGCGTTTGCAGAACAGTAAATTTGTGGAAAATTAGCGTATCAAACATCGGAAAGAACAAAGAGGGTCGCATTCAAAGATGTTTATGTATTTCTTTCAGGAGAATTGCGCAATGTTTTAATTTTGTTTGTTTGTTGTTCTTCTACTTTTGTTATTATTTATTGTCTTTTTGATTAATGGCACATACTATTTTTGTGTGTAAGCGCAATGACGATAGATAACACCGAAAAGAACGAAGAGTTTCACAGGCAAAACATAGCTGTATATCTTCCAAAAGAGACAATAACTCTCCTTGTGTCAAATGGAGTTCGAATTAAGGAATGTTTTTTTTTTTGTGTTTGCTGTTTGTACAATGAATATCGTTATTTGTTTTGATTTTTAAAAGGCTTTTTAACTTTTTATTATTTATTTTCAATTAATTGTATTTTTGATTAATGTCACTGTGACGTTAGATTACTGGGCTAAAATGTTTTAATAGGAAAGTTAGATATTAGCGAAGAATGCATAGACTTTTTGATCCCAATCGTTATTTTTTTTTACATCAGCTCAAGTCAAACATTTCGACCACATGTCTTGTTCAAGCAATATGTGTATTTTATAGTGGCAAACCTTGAAAAAGCCTTTGGCCAAAACGTTCGACTTTAAATGATTTGAAAGAAGATACCATTTGGACTAATGACTTTGGATATCATTTATTATTTTGTTTTGACTATCAGTATTTCAAAGTTTAAGACTAATAACTTGCTTATTATATTTTTATACACTGTTTACTATGCCGATATTATTATCTCGGTTTGCTATTGTCTTTTTTATAAATTACCCAATTCATTAAAACACACTTTGTACTGTAGCTACACTTTATACTGTCCGCACTTATAATAATACGCGTTTTTTTAGGTTTTGAAAGCGATTAGCATACGCATACCCATACTCGGATATCAATCAAACAAAATACTGGATTTGGTGATCCGAGCACAAATTGTGTATTCCGATTAATGAGCAAAGTATAAAGACTAATCTATACTCTGAAAGTTTCAGTTAGTCCTTGTTTATGTAGCACTGAATATAATGAGTATAATCAAGATGAAATGTTTTTCAGGAAATCCCGATGAAATAAAATAGATGGCTTTCCATGAGGTCAACTACTACAGTAATTAAAAGAACAGAGACTTGTCCAATATGTAAATTTATATTGTTCCAATAAAACTTGATGGGCTGATATCATTAAACTAAAATGTATTCACATTTCCAACTAAAGGGTTATTATTTTCGAATAATGATGAAATGATGATGAGGGTAGTGAATATAATGATATATGTGTACATTGGTTTTACCTAACCTTTTGTACTGTTAAGATAAATTGGTGAACAGTGGGCTGAAGCATCAAAACGGACGATAATGTTAACAACTGTAGGGCACTGTAAGACCCTTTACAATGAGCTCCATATCGTGTTATAAGCTATAAAAGGCCCGGCGTCACAAAATGTGAAACAATTCATAAGAGGAAACAAACGACCCCGATTCCAGATGAAAAAAACAAACAAGAAAAATAGTAAAGGTAGGCAACGAAAAATGACAACTACTGAATTACAGGTTCCTTACCTGCGACAGACACAATCAAATGTTATGTGGCGGTCCCGGGTATACAAATTTTGTGTACGCTCTCATGGGTAGTCAAGGTAGTCGTCCCCCCCCGCCCCCCCCCCCCCCCCCCAACACCCGTAGTAGTAATTCTTCACCAACGGACTGTGGTGTAACATAACAACATAACAAACTTTGAAAATATAAGTTGGCAAAGACTTGATTCATTACTCATCAGACTGCCACCATGCACTCATATAACTCTAACAAAGAGACAAACCCACGAGTAATTGCAGTTACTGAAAACTAGTTAAAAGCCTATTTCATGTCATAAATAAACCATGTTTCCCCAATTCGATCAGTAGACATCCAATAAATTTAGTGTAAAGTCGTCAAAATAGTCGGAGAAAAGCATGACCTTATGCAATGACAAAATATAAGTTTCGACAGGATGTAGGACAAAAGGGTTCATAACTGTATAGCCATACTTAATGCCAGAACCGATGAAGACAATATTAACAAAAAAATCCTACCACAGTGTTAAATTGCTTGCCTTTCAGAATAAGTCTAAGAATATTAATTTACATTGATCTTATGTTAATTTATAGGCTCTATAAACAACAGCAGCGTAACAACGTAAAAATTAAGTACAGCCAAACTTTCAATCCTAATCTTTGTATCTATGGAAGAATTTAGTAAAGGTGTTATATAGTTAGTGGTAACGAAAAGCCTAACGTAATAACTTTCCGGTTATACAAAGATTACGTTCATTGAAATCTTAAACGTCACTACATGTGCATATACGGGCAAAGCGAATGAGTTTGGAAATATATACACTGTTAGAAAGGACCAAACGAAGATTACCGTCCAAAAAAGGAAAAAATCAACAATAGGTGTCTTTTGTCGTAAATTTTATTTCAGAGTTTTCAGTGTGAAACTGAAGTAACTAAATCTAGGAAGACGGACAATTTTACAAAGTCAGTTCCTTTCGATAAATGAGAGTCTTCCTGATAGTTCGTAAAAAAGTTAGAAAACCTTGATGGCCAATGGTAAAATAACTGAAGGTGAAACTAAAGTGCACAAATGTGAATTCCTTGTATTACAGGGTAAACATAAAAATAAGGAGATGTGGTATGATTACCAATGAGATGACTCTCTATAAGAGACCAAATGACATAGAAGTTTACAACTATAGGTCACTGTATGGCCTTCAACAATGCGCAAAACCCGTACCGCATATTCAGCTATAAAAGACCCCATAATGAAAAACGTAAAACAATTCAAACGAGAAAACTAACGGCCTGATTTGTGTACAAAACAATGAACGAAAAACAAATATGATATACAGCAACAAACGTCAACCAGTGAATTCCAGGATCCTGACTTGGGACAGGCACACACAGAATTTGGCGGGGTTAAACTATTTTGAAGGCGCCAACCCTCCCCTAACCTGGGATAGGGGTGTAAAAGTACAACATAAGAATGAATTATAAAAATCAGTTGAAAGGGCTTGTTTCATCAGATCTATACAAAGCAGAAAGACATTTAACAAAATACAGACCGGACTAGGCAGTGTATTTATACATCACTTCAACCGTACAGATCTGAGAGTACTCGCAGTAATTGACAGCTAGTAACAACTAATAAAAAGATCATGCATCTAAGACTAAAATATCAATCAGTACACTTCCAACATCCAATGGATTTAGTGTAAAGACGTCATTAACAATCAGAGAAGAACATGACCTTGTGCAATGCCAAGATACAGGTATCGAAAGATTGTAGAGCCATGAATGTATATGTCGTGTACATGTTATTATTTTGTACAAGTTATTACTTGTACAACAACTTTGTACGAGTAATTAATTGTATGAAGCCATCATACAAACTATTACTTGTACAAATATAATTGTACAAGTAATTACTTGTACAATTTTTGATTAGAAAAAGATAATAACTTGTACAACTCCCTATATTTGAGTTATATTTGTTTCTTCCTTCTGTTTTATACAAAAACTCCTTTCTTTGGGTTTGTTATTTGGTTTTGTCTTTTATTATTATTTTTTCTTATTTATTTGTTTGTTTATTTTTGCTTAGAAGACATGATTCAGCAGATGTATTTTTGAAATTTATTTTGTGTTTGTTTTTCTGTTTTTTTTCTGACGCAGTCAGTATAATTTCTGTTTGTGATCCATTTATAAAGGACGCTTCGCTATGGTAACGGCATACATGATGTCACAAATATTTACTCTGATTGGAAGAAATAACGGAATCGAACAAAAACTGACAAAAAAGATATATGCTACAATAAAAGGATAACATTACGGACATAAAATCAAACTTAAAAATATTATCCAGATAAATAAAAATAAATTCCGGTAAAGAAGGTGTCATTAAGGTGGCACGGTAGTATTTACATTCCGGAATTAAGGTTGCTCTTTTGTGTACTTAAGTCAATGTATCTGAACAGTGTGATTGGACAAAAAAATACAGTATCTACTGAACATACTTTCCCAAACTGAGGTATGAATCAGGTGTAGCAGGGGGAGGCAGTGTAAGAAAGTGGTGAAAATTCTAAAAAAGGCTACCATTATCTCTATGGGCCAGGAATTACTACCGTGCCACCACTATCACCACTTTCAAACTGTTTGGATTTTGTAGGCTTAGTATGAGTAGTAAATATCACTGACAGGTTAATTAGATCTACCAGGTCAATGTACTGATTTGTTGTGAACATCAAATAGTCCAAGGTAGAATAATGATTTGTACAAGTTATTATCCTTTTCTCAATAAAAATTGTACAAGTAATTACTTGTATGACATCATACAAGTAATTACATGTACAAAATGTGTGTACAAGTAATAACGTGTACAAAATAATAAAATGAACACGACATATATAAAACATAATATTAAGTTTAATTTCAATTTACTGATAACAAAATCAATATTAACACCAGTAAAAACAATTTTCAAAGATCTAATTACAGTTTTGAAATGATAACCTTTTGGAATAAGTTTATTTAATTGATCGATACGTTAACCCGGATCGTATCTAAATTTCCGGGCCCGTAAAAATTACGATATGCTATCCCGTTTGAAAAACTTTTCTACAGGTGCAACCAAACTTCCACACCAAATCTATGTATATATGGAAGAATATAGTAAAGGTTTTAAGTAATTTGTGGTAACGAAATCCCTGACTTAATAATTTACCAGTAATACGTTCATCGAAATCAAAAACGCCACAACAGACACGGGCATAGCGAACGAGTCTATAAAAACACAGATTTGTAAAACAATGAGCCACATATATGTGTTTCATGACGTCATAGGACACAGATTTTAGGATAGACATAGATTTTACTCTTACATTATTTAAAATATATATTATATGTCGAACAAATAATATTTTTAACTGGTTGATTCCGAACCATTTCTCATTGGGTATTATTGAGAAACAAAAGATGAAGAAAGCCATACTAACAATTTGAAGAATATTTTTTTTTGCGATAATAAATTTAATAATACGAATATCCAATTTCACAGTTCCTTCCTTGGTAACCAGGTTTACATATACAATCGTAATCATTTACTTTATTCCAACATACAGCTTCGTGTTTACAAGGATTTGGAAAACATTGGTCTATAGCTGAAATAAAAATAAAACAGTGAAAAATATCTTCTATTTTAACATAAAACATCGAAAACACTGACAAGATATCAAATATTTAACAAATTCTGACTTATGTGTCAGAAATTTCCTGTATTAAGAGAAACTTGAGTGTTATGACTGATTTTAATTTTCTGGCGAAAACCTTCAACATACACAAATTAAACGTTTCGAATGTTGCCATACCCCTTCCTAAGAGTAATATTGCCATGTGAAATACGAAATCATTAGTTTACGTCTACTAAATTATCTTACACTATGTTGTGTGAAATTTTCTTTTGGGTTTGAAAGTATCTGCTATACCTACTATTTGTTATTGGAAAATAATATTGGAACGTAATATTTTTGTCTGTTTGTTTAGGTATCAATCGTACTAAGTGTTCAATGTCACTTAGTTGCAATCTTTACTGCTCGATCAGTCAAGACACCACATTTCCTTTCTCAAAAATGTACGGAATCTTTCTACTTACCTGCTTAATGATTTTTACAAGTTAATACGTAAAAGTAGACTGGCTAGCCTCTCAACATATAAAAAAAAGAGGAAATGTAGCAGTTCAATTTGTCGCAGAACAACTACTTATTAGATGTGGATAATCACCAACTAGGAATTCTAAAACAAATAAGTTTCAAATGACTATTGCCATTAATGTTATGTTGTAGAACATGATATATAGTAGATTAATAAGATCTACACAGTCAGTTATCGAGGCTTCTGGAAAATTATCAACTATATACTGATCGACTAAATTAAACTTGAACGTCAAAATGGTTTGGCGCAAATAGAATATCATGTGCAGTATTAACTTATATAAAAAGTGAGATGTAGTATTATTGATAATCAGACAACTATCCACCAGAGTTCACTTGAGGTGAATATAAGCAATTTGGTCCATTAAACATAATTTACCTTTTTCACAGTTTTTTCCTTTGTAACCTTGTTTACATATGCAATTGTAATCATTCACATTACTTTCACAAAAAGCGTCGTTTTGACATGGATTTGGAAGACATTTAGTGTTAACTGAAATATATAAACAAGCAAAACAAATTATTTTAAAAACTGAGCAAATCTAATATTATTGGAACGTATATTGGTTCTACGTTGCCATTGCCATATAAGCGGGAGGTTTGGCTAGCCATAAAACCAGGTTCAACCCACCATTTTTTCTTAAAATGTCCTGTACCAAGTCAGGAACATGGCAGTTGTTATCAAATAGTCCGTTTCTATGTATGTTGGCGTTGGTTTTTGTTGCAGTTCAGTGTTTCTGTTGTTCCATCGTTTTTCTCTTATAGTTGATGTGTTTCCCTTGGTTTTAGTTTGTAACCCGGATTTGTTTTCTCCTAATCGATTTATGACTACTGAACAGCGGTATACTACTGTTGCCTTTTTTTACGATGCTCTTCAACTTCGTTATTGATTAAGCCTCCCAACTGTTTTGATTCTATGGTAAACATCAATGACTCCTTTCATACGCTTCTTTTCAAAAAAATGAATTTGGTTTTTGTTGCTGACATCGGTTGTTCTTAATTGTTACTCTTTTCAAACACCTGGCAATTATGAAAACATCCGTATTTATTTTATAAGTTTTCCAATTTCAATAACATTAACTGGTCCCTATTTTATTGATCTGAAAGCGTCTCTTTGGTTATGCTCGAAACAAATCATTTCGTAAATCTAAAACTTAATGCAACCATTGACTTGTTGATATAACTGAAGAAGATAAATAGTAATGCCAAATAAGGACAATAAATCAAATTTATGTATGATTATATCTAAATTAAAGTAGCTGTGTAGCAATTGGAAATAGTTTTCATATATGTGGAACAGTCAAATCTATGTCCAGCCTCAAAACTGTGTACTTTTATCAAACTCATGTCCTTCTGTTGCCTTTATTTACCAAGTCATGCCCTGTCCTATTTTGTATCATAAATGTCGGAAATAAGCATCCTTGGTTGAAACCTGAATGTTCAGCTTTCAATCATTAATTCTGTCATGACTTTGATAAAAGTAGGACTATAACGTGTCAGTAATGGTCAATGGTTTGCTAGCACTCCCTAAAAAACATAGCTTGATGTTGACTTAAACTGTAGTTAGCAAAACCGTTCGGAATGTTTGGCCCTATTACGTACTTTATTGGGCATTTTAACCTTTTTGATCCGAGCGTCACTGATGGGTCTTTGGTACCAAATTGAAAGCCTGATATCTTGGTGATTTTTTTTCCACGGGAAAAAACCACAGATAAAAGCGTGCAAATCTATGATATTATACATGTTTGTTATCATTCTTCATTGTATCGAATACATTGTATGATGATAATTAAAGTAACCGATACCAATAAGTCAGCAGAAAAATGAGAGAAAATGAGGCAGTTAGAAATAAAGATCTCAATTTGTTTTGAGCTTTTAGCACTGTCCCTTTGTGTTTTCCGGTTTTTATGTTCGAAAAGACTGAAGGTGAAACCAATGCAACGTGGACAGATTTGGGTTCCCTGCATTACATTTTAAAAGTCTTTAAAATATACAGATTTAAAAAAAACAATGGCTACATTTCTAACTTCCATGATGTCACGGGAAACAGATTTGAGTGAAAGGGAACAGATTTGAGCAAGGACATAGATTTGACTCTTACATATATATTTAGATATGGATCATATGTCGTACAAATAACATTTTGCAACTGGTGGATTCGAACCACTTCGCATTGGGGATGATCTAGAGCAAAAAACAACTAATTAGATAAAATATTTCTGTTTGCGATTACAAATTTGATAATAAGAATAACCTATTTCACAGTTCCTTCCTTGGAAACCAGGCTTACATAAACAATCGTAATCATTTACTTTATTCCAACATACAGCTTCGTGTTTACAAGGATTTGGAAAACATTGGTCTATAGCTGAAATAATAATAAAACAGTGAAAAATATCTAAAACATTGACAAGATATCAAATCTTTTGCAAATTTTGACTAATGTCAAAGGAAGTAACAAAGCCAATACATGCATAAAAAAATGGTAAATCTACTGGATTAGAATGCATTTCAAACGAAATGCTCAAATGTACTGAGTTAATTTTGCTTCCATGTCATGTAAAACTGTTCAATAGTATATTATTAACTGGTTTTTATCCAAAACATTGGAAAATAGGGTATATTATACCAATATTTAAATCAGGTTCAAAATGTGATCCTTCTGATTATAGAGGTATTGCTATTATAAGTTGTATAGGAAAATTGTTTAATACCATTCTTAATAATAGATTTTATAGTTATTTGACCAAGTTTAATGTAATTTCTGAATCACTGATTGGTTTTCAGAAAAATTCAAGAACAGTAGATCATATGTTTATTTTGAGGACTCTAATTGAAAAGTGTATAGCAAACAAAACTTACTTATACACGTGTTTTGTTGATTTTAGGAAAGCTTTTGATTATGTAGTGCATGAAACCTTGTTGTTAAAACTCCAAACCATTGGGATAGGGGTTATTTTTATAATATTATTAAGAACATGTATAATAATACTATTTTACATGTTAGATTACATGATAAATTAACAGATAAACTTAAAGCTAACATTGGAGTTAGACAAGGGGATATTTAAGTCCCAATCTTTTCAAGATATTTGTCAATGATTTGCAGTGTATTTTTGATGATTACTGTGTACCAGCTGAAATAGGAAGTACAAAACTTAATTGTTTAATGTATGCCGATGATGTTGTGCTTTTTTCTACTAGTCAATCAGGATTGAGTAAATGTTTAAATATATTGAGAAAGGTCGATATAAAAAAATCGACAAAAATAAAAGATTTTGCGGGCAGTGTAAAAATATGCAGGTTGCAGACGAGTTTCATTTTTTAATGGAAAGCACTGTATACGAAAAGGAAAGGAATTTTATTCTTAATGAAGCATGTATTCAATGTAAAAATTCCCTTATATTTCAAAGTACAAACAGTTATTTGGTTGATGTCCTGTTAGTCTGAAAATGTTAATATGTCAGTGTCAAGGTTTATTAGTACTTGTTTTGAAAAAAGAGAAAATTTGCATTCCAGAAACTAAATATACATTTAGTAGTGATGTTGTTTATTTTTTTATGTATTAGAGCGGGTTAATATTCTATTTTATTTATTTTCAAACACCATCTGGTATGGAGTATAGTTATCTAATCATTTATTTTTGATGTAATAAATCTTAACAATTACTGTATAATTAATACTATTTATATATATATATATGCTCGGAAAAGGGCCCTTTAATTGGATTCAATAAATATTCTTATTATTATTCTTATTCTTATATCCCTGTGGTAAAAGAAACTTGAGTGTTTTGACTGATTTCAATTTTCCGGAGAAACCCTTCAACATATACAAATTAAACATTATAATCATCGTGTCGAATGTTGATATACCCCTTACCAACGAGTAATATTGCCATGTGATATACTAAATCTTAAGTTTACGTCTACTAAATTATCTTACGCTATGTTGTGTGAAATTTTCTTTCGGGTTTGAAAGTATCTGCTATACCTACTATTTGTTATTGGAACTTTTGATATTGGAACGTAATATTTTTTTTTGTCTGTTTGTTTAGGTATCAATCGTACTAAGTGTTCAATGTCACTTAGTTGCAATCTTTACTGCTCGATCAGTCAAGACACCACATTTCCTTTCTCAAAAATGTACGGAATCTTGCTACTTACCTGCTTAATGATTTTTACAAGTTAATACGTAAAAGTAGACTGGCTAGACTCTCAACATATAAAAAAAAAGAGGAAATGTAGCAGTTCAATTTGTCGCAAAACAACTACTTATTAGATGTGGATAATCACCAACTAGGAATTCTAAAAAAAATAAGTTTCAAATGACTATTGCCATTAATGTTATGTTGTAGAGAATGATATATAGTAGATTAATAAGACCTATACACTCGGTTATCGAGGCTTCATGAACATTATCAACTATATACTGATTGACTAAATTAAACTTGAACGTCAAAATGGTTTGACGCAAATAGAATATCATGTACAGTATTAACTAATATAAAAAGTGAGATGTAGTATTATTGATAATCAGACAACTATCCACCAGAGTTCACTTGAGGTGGATATAAGCAATTTGGTCCATTAAACAGAATTTACCTTTTTCACAGTTTTTCCCTTTGTAACCTTGTTTACATATGCAAATGTAATCATTCACGTTACTTTCACAAAAAGCGTCGTTTTGACATGGATTTGGAAGACATTGATTGTTAACTGAAATATATAAACAAGCAAAACAAATTATTTTGAAAATTGAGCAAATCTAAGCCTTCCAACTGTTTTCATTCTAGGGTATACGTCAAAACGACTCCTTTCGTACGCTTCTTTTCAAAAGAAAGATTTTGTTTTTGTCGGTTGTTCTTAATTGTTACTCTTTTCAAACACCTGGCAATTATGAAAACATCCTTATTTATTTTATAAGTTTTCCAATTTCAATAACATTAACTGGTCCCTATTTTATTGATCTGAAAGCGTTTTTAGACAAATAATGTCCCTTTGGTCATGCTCGAAACAAATCATTTTGTAAATCTAAAACTTATTACAACCATTGAAGTGTTGATATAACTAAAGAGGATCAATAGTAATGCCAAACAAGGACAATAAATCAAATTTATGTATGATTATATCTAAATTTATATATAAAAAAGTAGCTGTTTAGCAATTTGAAATAGTTTTCAAATATGCGGAACAGTCAAATCTATGGCCAGCCTCAAAAATGAGTACTTTTATCAAATTCATGTCCTACTGTTGCCTTTATTTACCAAGTCATGCCCTGTCCTATTTTGCATCATAAATGTCGGAAATAAGCATCCTTGGTTGAAACCTGAATGTTCACCTTTAAATAATTAATTCTGTCATTACTTTGATAAAAGTAGGACTATAACGTTTCAGTAATGGTAAATGGTTTGCTAGCACTTCTTAAAAACATAGCTTGATGTTGGCTTAAACTGTATTCAGCAAAACCGTTCGGAATTTTTGGCCCTATTTCGTACTTTATTGGGCATTTTAACTTTTTTGATCCGAGCGTCACTGATGGGTCTTTGGTACCAAATTGAAAGCCTGATATCTTGGTGATTTTTTTTCCACGGGAAAAAAAAACACAAATGAAAGCGTGCAAATCTATGATATAAATATTAGCACTGTCCCTTTATGTCCTTTGTGTTTTCCAGTTTTTATGTTCAAAAAGATTGAAGGTGAAACCAATGCAACGTGGAGAGATTTGGGTTCCCTGCATTACGTTTTAAAAAGTCTTTAAAATATACAGATTTAAAAAATAACAATGGCTACATATCTTACTTCCATGACGTCACGGGAAACATATTTGAGTGAAAGGGTACAGATTTGAAGAAGGACATAAATTTGACTCTTACATATATATTTAAGGTATGGATCATATGTCGTACAAATAACATTTTGTAACTGGTGGATTCCGAACCATTTCTCATTGGGGATGATCTAGAGCAAAAAACAACCAATTAGAAAAAATATTTCTGTTTGCGATTACAAATTTGATAATAAGAATAACCTATATCACAGTTCCTTCCTTGGTAACCAGGTTTACATATACAATCGTAATCATTTACTTTATTCCAACATACAGCTTCGTGTTTACAAGGATTTGGAAAACATTGGTCTATAGCTGAAATAAAAATAAAACAGTGAAAAATTTCTTCTCTTTTATCATAAAATGTCTTAAACACTGACAAGATATCAAATATTTAGCAAATTCTGACTAATGTGTCATAAATCCCTGTATTAAGAGAAACCTGAATGTTTCCAAATGATTTTTATTTCCTGGATAAAACCTTAATCATACACAAATGAAACATTATAGTTATGATTTCTAATGTTGAATTCCTCTAACCAAAGAGTGATATTGCATGTGCATGTGATATACTAAATCTTTAGTCTATGTCTTCTTTGCTATTTCAAATCTTCTTTTGGGGTTTAATGTACATGTATATGATATACCCACTGTGTGTTATTGTAACTTGTGATATCCGTTCTTAATATTGTTGTCTGTTTGGTTAGGTATCAAACGTATTATTATTATTTTTTTTTTTTTTTTTTTTTTTTTAAATTCTATATAATTTTATTTGAAATGTACATTTGTTAGAGATACATAAAGTACCGGTACCTTATCCCGGCCTCGTTAACGTTAGTATATAGCATTTCAGTGATAAGGTTAGTACTTGTTAGTACACAATATACAGTTTTGCTAATAAATAATGTGTAACAGAGTAAAAAGAAATTAATATGATATATTATAAATCTTAGTTAAGTATTATGTGTACAATGATATCAATAAGATTGCCGTATTTTCTTCTGGACTTATCAGGAAAATACATTTCCTTTCTCAAAAGTGTTCGGAATTTCGCGACTGACCTGATTTATGAATTTTAAAATTCATGACATAACGTAGCAATAGACTTGCTAGATTCTTAACACATAAGGGAAAGGAATTTTAACAGTTCAATTTGTCGCGGATTATTTACCTATTAAATGTGTATAATCACCAATAAGACACTAGGAATTCTAAAAAAATATTTACAATATAACTTTCCAATGATTATTGTAATTAATGATTTGTTGTTGTGACTGATATAAGACCTAGACACTCGATTTTCGAGGCTTCCGGGAAATTATCAACCTTTTACTAAACTACTGAAACTAAGAATTACTGTCCAAATGATCGATGATGTGATTGAAATAGAATATCCAGTTCAGTATTAATAGATTTAAAGATAATAAGATGTGGTATGATTTCCAATGGGACAACTATCAAGCAGAGTTCAAATGTCGTAGATATAAGCAATTTGGTCCATTTAAACAGATTTTACCTTTTTCACAGTTCTTTCCTTTGTAACCTTGTTTACATTTGCAATTGTAATCATACTCTTTACTTTCACAAAATGCGTCGTTTTGACATGGATTTGGAAGACATGGATTGTAATCTGAAAAACGTAAAAAAGCAAAACAAATTATTCCAAACGCTGAAAAAATCTTTTATTATAGAAACATTGGTTTACGATGCTCTTCAACTTCGTTATTGATTTAGCCAACTGTTTTGATTCAAGAGCAATTCCTGATTTTTCTGGCGTACTAAATTATAGGCCTGATAACTTTTGTTATCATTCACAACCACTGGGGGACTGTATCTCAAATGCCCCGGTAAAACATATTTGTACTCTATAGTTTCTAATATCATTACGATGACGGACCACCTAAAGACATAGACAATGTTAAATTTCTGTGTATTAATTTGATAACTGTATCAAATTGTAGAATATAAATACAATTACTATGATTTATTACATTAGATGGAATGAGTTAGCTTGATTTCCTATTGAAATAAATACCGATAATTTCATTCCTCTGACATCATACAACAATACATGTGACAAATAAATAAACAGAAATCCCATTTCCCACATTGTCTCGGTTTTTAGGTTGTCCGTAATGGTTATTAGATATTAGCTATCGAGTACAATGTTTTTGTCGAGGTACTTTAGACACAGTGTGGTTCGAAACCGTAGGTTATGAAGGTTTTGGTTCCGAGGTTATTCAGCCCCTTGCGTCTTAACAAGACATACAATTGATGTGTTTATTTTGGTATATCTTTTTTTCAAAATATAGTCATGAATTGCTTAAGACAGATTTGTCAGAACTTTTTTAACTTTTTATTTACGATGCTGTTCAACTTCGCCCTTGATTTGGCTTTTCAACTGGGTTGATTATAACATCATGAAAGAGGCTTACATGTATGTAGAACTAATCAAACGGACTATTTGCTAACTTACATTTAAGCTAGGTACTTTAATGAGTTTTTACGACCACTTCATTCATTAAAATCCTGGTTGACATTTCGTCCCCCATGGTCATCGAGGGTATCATCATCTCAGTAATCAGTACCTCGGTACTGACATGATTTATTATAAACCTTTCTTAAATTTTCCATTTAAGATTAAGAAATTATAAGAATCAAAGGTTTTTACTCCCTCAGGGTAAGTTGACCTTATATGGATTCAGCTATTTTTTCGGGTCCTTTTTATTCATACAGCTCTTCAACTGTTTCGGTTCTTATACATCCTTGGCTTTTAAATATGCATCTTTGAGCGTTTCTGATAAAGGTAAACACAGGAAAGCGCTTCGGACGAACGACATTTATAAAGTGTTGTTTTATTTTTTTAATTGATGGATTCAGAAGACATTTTACCATATCTGAGTTATAAATAATTAGTCGGTCTTCGAAAATATATTATGAAAATTAGATTGTTCAACATTTTAGAAATTGCCTTATATATCACAATTGTTTGTGACCAATTATCATTGTGGATTCATAATCATACAAATCATATTATAATTTACTTTACCTAAGTATCGTTGTTGTATTTCAAGTCCCGTTATCCTTTGTTTTAGGTTAGGCATTGAACCATCTGAACGTCTAAGTTTGTTATGGCTTCTTTGTGAAAATACATTTCCAATGTTCACCACTGAAAGGAGGAAATATATTATATTTTATGTAAACAATAATACATTACAAAAAAACATGAATTATTAATGATAGTAGCCAGTACAACAGACCACATCAACCAGCAAGACAAGAGTATTCCTATAAAAGTACTACGTAGAAATATTTCTGAAAAAAATAAACATAAGCATACACCGGAAAAAAATATACATAAAAACACAGACAAACAACAATAAACACTTATTATTATATTATACATGTATTATTGCTTTTAAACAACCGTTTTGTTTTCGTACCGAAAAAAGCCGTCAACAATGCGATTGTTTTATTTCAAAACCAAATGAATTAGTTCTTCTATTTCTTATCATTTGAACACTCCAAATACTTTTTTGGGCTCTTTGGATTGTCAAAATATCTTTTCCTATTTTTACTTTGCTCACACATTTTCTAGTTTTCCAAAACCTCAAAAGCATTTTCTGCCATCATTGTTAAAATACTTACCACTGAAAGCAAGATAGATTAAAACGACTTTTTGCAACATCCTCTGTCGTCAAGTGAATTGCACCTTAAAATGACACAGCCTCTGTATGCGCCTTTTAAATATTTGTACGACGTGCAACCAGAACCTACTCTGCAATATGTTGCCACTGTTTTTTTTTGGTAACAATCCAGATTATGTTTAATGCATGAAAATTAAGGACGATTTATCAAAAACAATATGAATCAGTCGTGAATACATTACATAAAATCACATCAAAGCATAATTATGATAATTATGTCAGTATTTTTTTTCAAATGCTGGTAACAAATGCTGCAAAAATAATACATGCATAACCTTGACTTTTAGAAACGTACATCTTATCTAATCTAAACAAAATAAGGTGATGTTGAAAAAAGTTTCAATAAAACAATAAATCAAGTATGTCCAAATGTTTCAAATTGTTAGATTCGAGCATTCCAGATAGAGTTAATAAAATAAAGCGGTTCGGACGCATGAAAAAGTGTAATTTGTGTTACCTACAAACTATCATGATACTGTGTTGCGTCTGAGTATTGCCATAATACTTATAACAGTCTTCCGAACTTAAATATTTTGCATTAATAATATTCTTCCTTTTTCTGAGTTATGTTAGTTATTACCCATTCTCTGTAACCATTTACACTTTTTTGGTACACATAGTCACCGATCTTTCTGAAAATGGGCTGAGATGTAAATCCTAGTAGCCTGATCAGAAAAATAATGTCAACAGGTATATATATATTGGTTGGTACCATGGTAACAGGGGAGAAAGTTGGGATTTAAAAAAAAAATACAATATTTGGTGTAGTGTTGTGAACTTTTGCGGCTACATCTGTTATAAAGAAACACAAGAACAATTAATTTCAGTCTTGTTTTTATCAAAAATCCAAAAAAATTATGGGGAATCTACCTAGAAATGTGTGAAATTAATTTCTAAAAAAATATCATTGTGCAATATTCCTCACTAAACGAATTATCTCCCTTTGGTCTATTTAGAACTCTGCAGTGCAGAGGTAAAAAAGTGTTCAGTGAAAATAATATGGCAGAAAGCTATCTGCTACCAATACTTTTTACTGAATGAGTGTAAAAGAAATTCATTGGGATGAGATGATAATGTTGATCTCAGATTTGGATTGCCTGTTGTGTCCTGTCATGATATTGATAATATTGTAATTTGTGGAAACTATTTACTTGAATTGCTTGAACTAAACAATCGGGAGTACAGTAGACAGCGAACGGTAATACGTTTAATATCGCCCAGTTTAGCAGTTCACAGCAACATTTCTAGAACGCAAAACCACCGTTTGAAGGAGCAACAGGTCCGACATGTCTTCACGACAAGAAGCATTTTACTTTCCATTGGCCTAGGTTAGTATAACTCAAATTTACTATTTACATCATTTCTTTTCATCCCCACAAAAAATAACAAAATCTATATCTACATAATACTTCTTAACTTGATATGTTGAAGATTACAAACTAACAATATTATTTCTGAGGGAACAACCATTTGATTTTTTGAGTTGAAAGGGAGGGGGAGCAGGAGGATTTTGAAAAGGAATAACTGCCTAGTAAGAACTGAAAATAAATATGATTTTGCACAACACAGGATGACAATAAATATTCTTCAACATACATGTAAAGTGCAGGTTAGTTGAAGATACATATGTGTAGCAACAGATGAAAATAAATGATCAATTCGGTATAATAATATAGATATCGAACAAGTACACTACATGGACATACAAAATCACTTGTGATGTTTTTGGTCATATATTTCATATGAACTGTTGACATAGTGTTATGTCTCTCCTGTCGGCATAAAATAAAATAAAAAAAAAGCAATCTGATGGACACCAACATTGATTATTAATTCAGCCGCTGAATCACGACCTAGTGGGCAGGACCAGAATATGGTCGGTAAACTGAGATGTACAGACAGTAAATACAATCAGCTGATTATTGATTTTCTGTCAAAATCTTAACGAGTTCAAGGTGAATTCCGAGTATTGTCAGGTAAAGTCAGGTAAAGTCCGAGAAACCCGAAACAAAATAAATAAAAAAGATGGATGAAATTAAATCGTTATATATATTTCTTTCGCCAAATTCTTTCGCAAATGATGAATTTTAATCGCCACAATTATTATTGCGGAAACCCTGCTACTGATGTAGAAATCAAGTTTCTTATGTTCAATACATTTATTTATTTACATGCTTAAAACACTCCTCTGTCAGTTATCATGGCAACATTTGTGTTAAACAGTTATACGCGGTTATAAATAAGATTGACTTACACTTAAGCTTTGAATCCATTATAATGTTGATACAAATTTTTCTTCGAAAAGACTATGTATAGCCGGATGATAATACTAAATGAAAATCGGATTTATAATTGTATCCATAAGATTCACCACTATCATGGCTCACAGCATTGTGCTGATAATTCTAATGAAGAGTAAATGTTGTCTTTGTTCGTTGAAATATCACTCATCCATTTTTATAGACATATATGCAAAAGATGTTCTTCTGGTCATTATTAAGATTGCGGTCAGTTTAAAAAATAACATTTAGTTTTTTGTTGTCAAGATTATCAAAATATAAAAATGATTTGTAAATATGTAGAATTTTCTTCGTTTTTGTTTTCAAACTTCAAATATTTTACTGCACTAATAGATGTGAAAAATGTCTCTAATTGCTACATCTTCTGTAAATGTGGAAAGTATTTTCCGGTCCTTTTGCAGTCATAAAAAGTCGCGAAAACACGCATTACGTAACACCGGCGTTGGAAAAGAGCTTTAAAATGAAATAAATGAGAATTTCCCGACTTCTCTTGCAGAAAGATGCAAAACAAAAATGCGCAATAGTAAGTAATGGTATAGTTCCTTTACCAAGTCGTGACCAAACGACATCTAGAGGAGAGCATACAGTCTTCAACAATAAACAGATGTCAATACAATCTGACAAGCTTTAAATCTTCCTGAGTCTATGAAGGTTGTGAATAATTTTTACAGAAACGTATATATCGGATGTATAATGCATTTCTGATGAACAAAAACGTCTTCGAGCAGTCAAGTTCATCTGTCCGAATTTTGGCGTTCCTGAATCGGGTGGGTCCAGAGATGCGATTCCCACGCTTGAGGTTTTTATAGTATGTTTCAACTTTCTTGACCCTTGTTTTTTTCATTTATTTCATTTGTACTTTATCGTAAAATTATGTTTAATTTTCTGTATCTACTATCAACTACATATTGTTTTTTGTTGGCGTGTTTGTTTTTGTTTGTACTATCGACTATTTTTGTGTTGGTGTTGGCGTCTTTGTCAAATTGTCTGGTGTGTTTGTTTGGATTTTTAAGTTAGTTGTATTGTAAGTCTGTAATGTTAGGTAGCACAGTTTGGCCTGCTGGTTCCCATTTTTTTTACATTTACCACTAATGTCTGTTTTGGTTGCTCACACAATTTTGTCAGAATAGCGGTACTATAAACAACTGCCATACAAGTAGGAGGTTTAGTTAGCTATAAAGACATGTTTAAACCACCATTGTCTTAGGAAAATGTCTGTACCAAGTCAGGAATATGACAGTTGTATTCCTTCGTTCCACTGGGTTATATAGTCGAACATTTGATATTTTTAGGTTTTATGGACTTTCACCTTTTTCAATTTACCTTGGCAGTTCGGTATGTTTGTTAATACTTTTGTTCAATCTCATGATGGCAATCTTTATCTGATCGGGAAGTTACGACTGATTGATCCATCTTGACGTATGGATTTTTTATACGTCACAGCTGATATTTTGTATATTACGGAATAGTAATTTCGCTCAATTCTTTTAAGATTTTAAGATGGCTGCCGAAATAAAGAATTTTATCCACGTGGAAAAATATGTTCGTGAAAAGGAAATACAACTATAGTTTCACCTTCTTAAATGATCTCGATTTCCTTGATAAAAGGGTAGTTTTTAAGATAGAAAAAAAACTGTTTAGCCCCCCACCCACCACCCCCCCCCCCCCCCCCACTCCCCCCTATTCCAAAAAAAGAAAATTTGAAATAAAAAAAAGAATCGCGATCACTAAAATCTCCTAGAATTATCCATAAACGAATTAGAAAGTACAAAGAAGAAACAAAGCCATTAAAAAAATGAACAGATTAAATTATTCATCCCGATTAAACTAACTTACACATGTTACACCAATATTACCAAAATTGAAGATAACACGTATGTACATTTCGTTTCTATGTATGTACAGTTCGTTTCTATGTATGTACAGTTCGTTTCTATGTATGTTGGCGTTTGCTTTTGTTGTAGTTCAGTGTTTCTGTTGTTCCGTTGTATTTCTGTTATAGTTAATGTGTTTCCCTCGGTTTTAGTTTGTTACCTGGATTTGTTTTTGCTTAATCGAATTATGACTATTGAACAGCGGTATACTGCTGTTTCCTTTATTTTGCAAATTTAAAATTAAGTACTAAATCGTACAGTGTGTTAGGAGAAAACAAAATAAACAATTTATTCCCCAAAAAATAACTAAG